AACCGACTGTATTACTACAAGCGAAGACAGGAGGAAGGATACATGCAGAAAAAACGCGACTCTGCCTTGAAGTGCATTCAAAAGAAGAAGTTAAAGCAATATCTAAAAGACAACAATATCAATACCACAATAGAAGATTTAACCGAAGAGCAACTGGCAGAATTCAACAGCAGTCAGAATAAGAAAGGACCGAAGTATGATATGAATAATGTTAAAGTTGTGATGCCCATGAAAACAGAAGAATGCTGATTTAATTTTAGAAATAAGATTAAATCAATATTTTCGTATTGTAGATATATGAGTAAGCAAGAGATTATTAGTAATGTGTATTACGATCGCGCGGGATATGGGAGCAGACAGAGGACCCTAAAGGAAGCACGGGAGAAGGATAAAAGTATAACTATTGACGATGTTAATGAGTTTTTCAAGAAGAACGTGGAAGCAAAAAGAAAACCTGTGGGACAGAACAGTTTTGTAGCACCACATTCGGCATACGAGTATCAAATGGACTTGTTTTTTATAAATGATCTGGAAGATCAAAAGTTTAAGGTTGGCATGATCATGATAGATGTCTTTGATAAGTTTATGCACGTAGTGCCGTTAAAGGGCAAGACGGAGGAAGATCTGGCATCGGGAATGATTGAGTGTTTGCATAAGATGGGGAAAAATCCTAAAATACTCTATACGGATGATGAAGGCGCTCTGTCTAAAGAAGCTATTCAAACATATTTAAAGGAACAGAAGATAGAGCACCATAGGACAAGGGCTCACGCAAATTTCAGTGAGAGGGCGATCAGAACTTTCAAGGACATGTTATATAAACGAGTTGAGGCTGACGAGAAAAAAGGGAAAAGTAATATTCAATGGGCTGATTATATTCACGAGATATTGCTGACATATAACAACCAGATGATACATTCCGCTACAAAATTCACGCCGAAAGAGGCACGGAAACCGAGTAACGAATTAAGCGTCAGGTTGAATATTGCTAGTAGTGGTAAACGGAATAGGATATATCCGGATCTTGACAAGGGTGACGAAGTCAAGATATTTAGGAAGCGAAAACCGAATGAGAAGGAAAGGGTCGGAAATTTCAGTAAAGATGTGTATACCATAGAAAGAATAGAGAAGAAATTAAGTCAAAGTTACTATTATGTAGAAGGGCAAACAAGACCATATTTACGTTTTGAGTTGTTAAAGGTGTAAAAAGGTGATTAAGGATAAAAGAGTATAATTACTATATTTAGCAATGCCAGATTATCAAAAAGGAAAAATTTACAAAATTTGGGATGACAACTACACAAAATGCTATATTGGAAGCACTGTGGAAGACCTTTCCAAGCGGATGACCAAGCATAGGGACAAGTATAAGCAGTATCTTCAAAAACGAACATTTAACAACACAGCATTCAAACTGTTTGAAGAATTCGGAATAGAAAAATGCAAAATTGAGTTATTGGAGTTGTATCCATGCAGTGGTAAATCAGAACTAGAAGCACGGGAAGGACATCACATACGGAACGAGGAATGTGTAAACAGAAAAGTCATGGGAAGAAGTAAGAAAGAGCATTATAGGGATAATTATGAAACCATACGAGCACAGAGGAAAGAATACAGGGACAGAACAAAAGATCACAAACATGAAGTGGACAAAATGTATAGAAAAGAAAACAAAGAAACTATAACTGAACATCTCAAGGAAAAACGACTATGCGAATGTGGTTGTTACATATCCGTTAGAAATATGTCTTCTCATAAGAAGTCACCGAAACACCTACAATTATTACAAGGTTAATATTCTTTAGAATTAATTTCTTAAGAAAAGCATTTAAAGAAATATTATCTATATATGTTAGAATACAATGATGAAAACATTTCATTTAGATTTTGAATGTGGAGTATGCCAAGAACACAGAAACAGAAAGCGAGAGGTGCTGACGTGCATATTTGATGAAAATATTACTGATAATATTACCTCTTATCTTGCCTGCCATTGTTGTTCAGAAATACTAGAGTATGAGAAGATTTATAATCAAGATAAATATAACAAATTATGTAAGCCTGAAAAACAAATACATTGTGTTTTTAACTTTGTTGATAAATCATACCAAAAATTAGAGAACAACAAGAAAAAGAAAGAGTGTTTAAAGAAAATGATAGAAAGTTCGTATTTGTATAATCACGCAACCAAATTACTAATGAAGAAGTTTATAAATGATACAGATTTGTTTCATATGTTTGATAGTTATAAGAGAAACTTTATTCTGAATACAATGGGCTATTTTAGTTTCCAATATACAGAGAGAATGAAGGAAACGGTCACATACAGAACATGCTACGAGGATTATGTTGTAAATGTGTTTAAAAGCATACTTGTGACATACATAGAAAATCAAATACACTTACGGAGACAAAATTTTGACTTTACTACAATATGCGATTATATAGCAGATCAAAAACTGTGATGATCATAATATTATTATTGATGTTAATAATATCATGATCGTGAAACGCTTCTTTTTATCAACTTGATTTTCTTATTTTGTTTTCTATTTGTTTTGTTGGTTTCTTGTTTTTTGTTTGTTTTTGCTCAGTGGTTTGTGTGTCTCTATATGTATCAACATTCTTTAATATTTAAGACCAATAAAAGCCCCAAAAATCCCTACACCATATGTGTCAAACTTATTTGTGCGTCCATTTGTGCTTCGCTGTGATTGTGTGTGTGTGTGTGTATATGGCTTTCCTAGGGGGGCAGGGTTCGAGATACAAAACTGCCCACGACCTTCATCTAGCGACAGTGTTTTACCATCCGCGAGCATGCCGAATGCTTTGGCAGCAGGTGAAACTCTAACACATGCGGACACACATGGGCTAATTGATTCGTCTGAACATGTCTACGTGTCGCCTGCGAAGGCAGCCTCCTCTGGAAGAACTCGCTTCGGCTCCACTTCACGACACAAGCGCTGCATGAGGGTTTTCATGCGATCTTGGCATATGCCAAAGAACTTGTCACGAACATTGGCATCTTTCGGATCAGGGAGTTCACTATGAGTCTCGTGAGCAAACTCTAATTGCATGTAAAGGCTTGCCATGAAAGGTTTGCGAATGACGATGTTTTGCCGATGCAAGTCACCAAACCTAATGGGCTGCGTCTGCAAGACTTTCTTCTTGCTCTTGCTCTTGTTTGTGTTCTTGCCCTTCCCCTTCGGCTCCTGAACGATGGGTCTTTCAAAAGGAACCGGCTCGATCAATTTCTGCTTCTTGTCCGACCACATGACAGGTTCAGCATGCAGAAATGCGGCAACGTGGATTTGAAGCGTGACTGTCGTCTCGGGTTCTGATACATCAGAAAGAGTGCCGGCGTCGCTGCACAACTGCTCGCCTGCTGCCTCCACTGGAATCAGCACCATGTGACCATCCTGGAACTGTGACTCCAAAGCTTTTACCAGCAGCAGTCCATTCCGAGGATGTCTGGTCACGATGCCCAAGTCTTTTCCTTCCGTCTCCATGCTCTTCTTGTAGATGTGCTCACCCACGGGCAGGAAATAATCGGAACCAAAGTAATAATCCTCACCCCAGTCTTGAAGACACTCTGAAAAAATTTGACCCAAAATCATGCATGAAGTCGTCTTATAATATGTTTGGCACTTGCTTTCAAACTCGGGATCCAAGGTGGAGTGGGTAGCAGCACGGAAGCCGTATAGTTGCTTTGCCATCCTGGGCAAAACATCTCCCTGAACCTCCTGGATCCGCTTCACCTAGCCCACTTCCTGCTTGACCTCGCCCAAGTCCTGCTTGACCTCGCGCTTGACCTCGCCCAAGTCCTGCTTGACCTCGCGCTTGACCTCGCCCAAGTCCAGTCGCAGGCTCTCCAACTTCTGTATCAGACTGTCCTGACTTTGCTGGTCACTTGCACGCAGGAAGCAAGACTGCAACAATCTTTCACGAATGCACCCTAATCCTTAAGCACCCGAACCACCAAACTAACCACGCAATAAATCCTAGCAAGGACCAAACCTCCTAGCGTGGACTACTTAAGGCGACTAAGTAGTAGGGATTAGCGGGAAGTTAACCAAAACTAACACAGGGAAAATGAATGTCTTCGAATGAGTTGCTTGTTCTGGTGCTTGTTGCCTTTCATAGTGCACGAACAGTGGCTTGTCTGGCGTGCCACCTGTGATTTCATCCACTGATGTTGCCATGCCCAGATGTGCCTGGCTTGCACTCCAATCGCCATGGGAAGGGAATAATCGGAGGTCGCCAACATCCAGTCCATTCAACACTCGCTTTGCCTCCTCCCGCACAGCCTTCAAAAGATTGTATACGTTCGCTGGCATCTGCACTTGGTCTGACCTTACCATGACGAGATTGCCTTCATGCACCTTCGCCCACCAGACCTTGCACGAATGACCTTTTGGAGATCTGCTTCGGGCAGGTGCTTCTGCCATGGCACGCCGAATTGCTAAATTTAAACACGGGTCAACTTGGGTTGCATCAGGGGCATCATGTTGATTCTGTGGGAGCATGTGACATCGGAGTGCGGGTCTTCTCTGCCAAATGCAGACACCGAGGTACGAGCAGACAAAGCCTCAACATGCAAAGGCTGATAGTTTTATTGCCCTTGAACCCTAAACCCTAGCAAAATCTATGAGAGAACCCTTGCCCACTTTGGGATGATAATACCACCTTAGGGAATATGGATGGGGTAATTGGTTATTCCTATACTGGTCTTGGTAATGGGGAAGTAGTGGTGATATTTGGGGGATTGTAGTAGGGAGTATAGGAATAATCCGCTTATATGGATGAGGTCATCGGTTATTCCTATACTGGTCTTGGTAATGGGGAAGTAGTAGTGATATAGTTGGTGAGGTGTAGGGGGGAGTATAGGAATAATCGTCTAATGGGTTGACTGGTGGTATTATTACCCAAAATGGGCAAGGGTTCTGCTAACTTAATCCACATTGGCTGTCCTTCAAGAGAAGGGCATGCAGATCAGGCACTGGTAAAGTTCGCCCCGGATGCGCAGCGGTGGGTCGGCTCGCTCGAAGGGGTCGCCGCCCTGTCGCAGGAATCGTACACGTAGTATAGCTGGAGCTCGTGCTTGACAGTCCCTATTGAGGACATCCCAAGGCATTGGCTTAGTTCGGAGCGGCTTGACGATGGGGCACTACGCATTCACACGCAAGTGACATTGTGGCCTTGGCCAGCAGTTGGCGAGTGGACGTGTCCCCTCGGAGAAGGTGCGCCACGAAACTCAGAACCTGACAGCCCCATGCACTTCGCTTGCCCTGCTTCTACTCGGGCTTCGTACTCCTCATTCTTCCTCTACTCTTGTATGTATGTGTATTTGTTCGCATGTATTTACATGCAATAGTCTCTTGCTCTAGAACCTTACAGCAGGAAGGCCAAGGGACCCAGGGCTCCGCCAAACCGTTTGAGCGGCGGCCACGGCAGGAGGCGATCCATCGACACCTTGACTCAGTGCATCTCAGTGCTGTTCCTATGAGTTCATCAAGCTCAGGCCGTGGGTATGGTGTGGCTTCCTGTGCTCGGCTGATCGCGAACTCTGCTTACCTCCCCCCCCCCCCCCCCCGGTCCCAATGAACTTTCAGGCTAGGTCAACAGTAGACCCGATTGGGGAATTGAATACTTCGGGCTGCTCTGCCGCTGATTCTCGTCCGCACCGTGAGCATCCGAAAAGAACTTCTTATGCTGCCTCCGTATCGCTGGCAGCTGCGTTTCGCTGGTGGAATGACTTCCCAAATCGACCCTCCGCTTCTGCTGCAACTGCTCCTAGAACGGCTGCTTGAACGCAACTACAACTGAAGTATTTGCCCATCAGTTCCGATTCACTCGTGTTAGTACAACACCAGCTGCCTGCTAGAAAGAGCCCACATCCAACCAAAAAGCAGCTCTCATCTGCTACCGCACTGGATGTTACTGGATGCGGACGGCGGTACCAATCCAGCCGCAGGTGGTATGGTGCCCAGAAACCAGGCCGCTTCATGGGGTCATCAACAGCAGCTTTGAAAGTGTACCTTTTGCATTGCAGTAAGCTCAAAGTGCAAGAACATGTAACAAGCATCGTCCATCAAAGCGGCCCTGAGAAACTGTATCTAGCAATGCTGGCGACCCAAAACGAGCACAGCATGTCACGCCATCGTGTTTTTGGCGGCCATCCCTGTTGAGCCTCTGCACCTAAACATCTCTTTTGCCGAGGGGCGGGTACCAGTTGCGGCCATCAGGAGTGCCTTCAAACACGATCTCGATGCGCTCGGTGTTCACGGACCCAAATGCCCCGTATGTGTTCAGCAGTCGAAGACTTTGCAGGTTCATGCTGATCTCAAGATCGGGTAACAACCGTCGCCGCTTCTGTGCCGGCGATGAGGAGCTTGTCTCCGTGGAGTCGTTTGTCGTTTCCTCCCTGCCAGCGCCGGCAATTCGGGAGACAAAGCGCGGCACAACCAGTCGCCTCTCGAAAGTGGAGTTCATCCTCTGCCGGCCTCCACCACGAGGGCCGAGCAAGTTCTTCCAAACTGGCAGCGAAAGCCAGATGATAATACAACCCGCCAAGACGTCCCGGGTAAACATCCACATGCAGCTGCTCGTGGTGGGTGTCATCGTTCTGGCATGAACCACTGAGTCAGCGAGGGGTCGCGCGATGGCTTCCGGGAGCAAACCGATCAAAGTGGCATCATCAAAGCACCACAAGCCAGGAATAATCGTCAACCAATTCAGAAAAGACAGGTTTCCTGTCAGGATGAGCGCCAGCCTGAGGCAAAACATGTGGTGAAAGCGTGTGAAGGCTGACTACAGTTTAAGACCTTCCAAGGGTTCGCAGACTCTGCCTGACAAGACACGACTTGGTCATCACAGGTCAGCAGCGATGCTTAGTCTGCTCTTGCAGCCGAGAGACTGAAAAAGGATGTGCACTGCGCCGAAAGCTGCCAGGGTCGCACGACATGGACAGAGGAGCAGCCAGGGCATCCTTTTTGGAGATGGAAAAATCCCGGGGAAACCCCGATACAAAGCCGGAAAAATCCCGGGAACCCCCTTTAAAATCACAGGAAGCCAGGGCCAGCCAAAGCGCACCAGCTCGATGACGTGGTTGGAGGCCGTGGCATACAGATGCAGCGGCCGAGGCAGGTTGTGGAAGAAGCGGGACAACGGGTTGGGGATGGGCTGCGTCTCGATGTGGTGGCCTCCCAAAAGAAAACCCACAAAAGGCCCGAAGCACCCCTCAGCCTCAGAAACTTCAGAAATCAAGAGAGCCAATCTTTGGGCCCCCGACACATCGCGGTGAGGTCCAGCCAAGTTTTGGAGCCCCTTGCCTCTGCGTAGGGTTAAGATGGGTTTGGGCCCCTTGAGGGATGCTTAGAGCTTAGGGATGCTCTGAGGGATGCTTAGGGATGCTTAGGGATGCTTAGGGATGCTTAGGGCTTGGAATCATGTACGCCTACTCACCACCAAGGCCCCTCAACAGAATTGTCTCTGAGACTTGAAGTGTCTTAGAGCACTTCGGCGCTGAGCGCAGAGATGGCAAGAGTCGAAGGGCTAAGCTGTTGAGCTTGCTGCCCTTGACAGAGGAATCCTGTGATGTTCTGCAAGTGCAGAAGACCCATCTCGTGTCTTCAGGAGACAAGCCCAGCCATAGCGCATGGAGTAGACTAGAACATACATGTAGTTTTCGCGGCACCCCCAGCAAGCAGAAGGGCCTTGATGAGCCCGGCCCCCAGCATGATGCGGAAGGCCAGCCAGCGGAAGGCCCACGGTGCCAGCAGCGAGGGGGGCGCGGCAAAGGCCCCACCTGGTAACTTGAAGCACCGTCACGAACGCAAAATGCCTGAACTCTCTCTTGGCTGGATTTAAATGGTTGGTTTTTCGGTGTTGATGCTTTTGTGTTTCATGGTTGCCAGCGAGCCTGCCACACCCGGCGCGGCCAATGCCCCCAGTAGCGCCGTCTCCAGCAGCTGAGACTCCCAACCGAAGGAATACCAGCGCTGCCCTGTGTGGAGTTGGTTAAAAAGGTGCTTCTGTATTTTCACAGCGCCACGTACTAGCCTAGCTGTTGGGGGAGCCAAAAAACCTCGCACCCACAAGGCCTCTGACATGGTTCTCAAATATCAAAGCCACATCCCCATCAGGCTTTGGCTCCCTAGCCTACGGCCACCAGGGAGATGTACAAGACCCAGAGCGTGAAGAGGTGCAGCATGGAGGCCCCCCCTGGCGACAGGCCCAGAGAATGGCGAATTCTTCTCTTGAGTTGATCTCTTGAGGGGGAGGGCGAACCCTTCGATCAGAAGCAAACCGTTCATACCCGGGCCCCCGAACCCTCAAGCATAACATCGAGGAAGGAGGACCTCTCGAGACCGTTTAAGCCACAAAGTTCCTGACCCCTCCAACCCTGGATGTCCTACAGCGAAGGCCACGCCGGAAAGCACCATGCCAGCCCAGGCGAGGCCATCGAGCCACGGATTGAGGGGCCTTCAGTGGGGGAACAGAACCCAAGAGAGGAACTCGGCAGGGTGTGAAGATGTGAGCAGTGAAATCATGGCACACTAGCTATACGGATCCTGTTGTGTTTATAGCCGGTAGCCCAACAGTAACAGGGGCCCTTCAGGAACCTGCCATGGCTTTAGGTGCAAGATCTGGCCTGGCTCCAGCAAACCACAGCAGAGTGGGCAGCCGCTCCGCACGCAGAAGGAAGCACCGCACCTCGAGCGATCAGAAGGGAACAATCCGAGAGAATAAGCTGCAAAATGCTGCTACTCCTTTCTCCTAGCTCCCTTTTTTGCACACTGCACCTTGCCATAAAAGCTCAGCTCCTGCCATCTCCCGGCAGCTTTGGAGACGGAGAGGTCCACCCGCCTGGCTTGCAGAATTGAGCGGAATTCTCTCCAGTCACGCTCAGAGTGTTGAGTTGGCAGTTCCCACAGCGCATACCCACATCGAAATCGACCTGCGCACCTCAACAAGTGCCGTGCTGGCAGGATCCCGTTGTCTCCAATCAACGCCTTGCAGGCATGAGCTGCTAAGGCACACTCAGCTCGTCCGGAGACAGGCCTTGTTCTGCCTGAGTGCCACCAGGAAGGCTATGAAGTAAATGGCTGTGAGCCAGCGGAGCCTTACATCTACTCCACGCACAGGCTTGGGACAAGTGCTCCGGCATCATGTTAAGGGCTGATTCATCCCCCGGAATTGCGTAAACTTTCCGAAACTATTGAGCGGGATCACATTAACCCTAGCCGCAACCCAGAATCTGGACCGTGGCTTCGCGAGCCCCCCTTTCCCCCCCAACAACATTTTTTTTATTTCGAACATCCCCACCCTCTCTGGGTAGTAGCCATCAACATACATGGGCATGCCATATCAAACTCTCGACTCTGCTCCAACCATACTTCAGCACAGCTTCGCCAGCACGCGGGTGATCCAGTAGCCCCCAGCCAAAGGTGCTGCCACCGGCCGCCGCGATGCGGCCACGGCGGCGGCTGCGGCCAGGCTGCCGCACAGCAGGCCTTCGCTAACCCAGGATTGTAGTCGACTAGATGCAAGCCAATGCAAGCTTCTCCGAACATGAAGTTGCTCTTGAAGTCTTGGAGTTCCCTGCAGGCCTGTGATTGCAGCTTGGATCCATGGGGTGCGGCCTGACTCGCAGGCTGCCATGGAGCGAAGCGCGAAGCGCCAGATCTCCAGCCAGAGTCCGCGCACATCAGCGACAAGTACAGGGAGCCACGCGAGGAACGCCGGCGTCGGCCGCTTCTGGAAGCTTTCCGCATCCGCAGATGAGGCAAGTCTAGCGCCTTCACTCATGCGAATGCTGCGACGGTGAGTTTCGCTCAGCAGGCGAGATACCGAAAGGCTCGCGGCATCTAGACAGTGAGCATAGCGAGCACGCAAAGGTGCAGGCAAAAGCCTGCTCCGTGCCCGAGGTGCACCAAAGAGTATGCTGAAGGGCACAGCTGGTGCTTGAACCAACATGCTACCAGGGATTGTTTAGGCCCTCAGTAGGTTTGGAGACGACCGAATCCAAGACAGGACCGAGGCTGCACACGCGCAGGCTGCACCTCGTGGCATTCCACAGCCTCGGGGTCGGCCTGGATGCAGTTCTCCAGGCTCCGGACCTAGGTGCTGATAGGTGCAGGTGTGCCCGACCCTGTGGTTCGTACGGGCCCGGTTCTCTGCAGAGGCCATTGTATTTGCACATGCAGGCTACGCCTGAGACATCTAACTGAACATGCGATTGGTGAGTCGGAGGATGCTGCGGGCATAGCCTGAATAGGTCAGGGAAGACGGAGCAACACTTGTGTGTCAGCCATTCCTCCACTTGTCTTGAAATCCCAAGGCGAAGCTGTGCTTGCAGCGCAAGAGAGATGTACCGTCCGTGTGCCACTCCACTAACACTCACACAGGCAGGTTCCCACTGACAACACCCCCACCGGCGCCAAGAAACTGAATTAAGACTCACATACCCTGAACTTGGCTACACAAACAACAGAGCTCCGAACTAACGGCAGGATGATGCCATAATGCGCCTCGGCAGCAGCAAAGGCCAAACACTGCAACAGTGTGCGAACCTCTGTGCCTCATGTCTCGACCTACCTGTGTATGGGTAACACATAAACAGGTAAGCATTTAAACAAGCTGATGGTTGAGAGGTCGGCAGACAGGTCTTCAGCCGGCTTAACCGCCGGGCTTAGCCCAAAAACCGACGTACATTGCGAACAAGACCATGCAAATTCATAAGCCCTACGGTAGAAGGCACTGACACGGCACCTTCTTTTTTGCCTCTCGCGGAAGAAAGGCTGCTGTGTGAAACCAAAAGCGACCCTGGGTCTCGTTGCAGGGTCAGCGGAGGCCACCTCAAAGGCTGCACATGGCCTCAGGTGCTCCGATTCTGCTGCAGCTGCATGCATGGTTTTGACCACCTTCCAAAAGCAACTGAAACGCAGGATTGGCTGCATGTCGTCCAGAGCAGCGCGTATCTTCGTTCGCTTTGGCTGCACGTGCTTCTGCGGCCCGCGTCGCATGGCTGCAGAAAGGAGCCTCGCCCCCTATGCTTCACCTCTGTGACAGGTCAGCTCTTACTCGGGTAATGGTCCTGTCTGGTTGGTCCCCAACCTTCGTGGAAGTAGCATGCTGTAATCTGGTGAGAATCTTCCAGGGACGCGCAAAGCCAAGGACAAAAGGATCTGCGCCGTTGATGCAGACAGTACGATAATGAACCCGTCTCTGCCTTAGGTCAGAATGCTCTGATCCGAGAAGTGCCTCTGCAGCATCTGCAGGTCCGGCCTTTTTTTTCCCATGCCAAGCTTTCATATGTGCCTGTAGGGTCTCAAAGGAAGACTACAACAGCAAAACTGGAGCATCATGTGTCTGAAGAATAAGCTGTGAAGTCAAAGCGGCATTGAGTCATTACTGCATGTGTCGGCACTTTGCCAGGAAGCCTTGAGGTCCAGTGGCGGCATGGGCCCATGCTTGAGGATAGACACCAGTACTCAACCAGTAGGACTTCTTTTGTAGAAAAGCAAGGGCTTGCAGCGTCACTTGTGCTGGCTGGCGCATGTCGCGAATCATCTCCGGTCTGGCAGCTCGCTGTTGGCTACGTGCTTCAACGTGACAAGCGCCAGCCAGCAGAGCGCGAGACTTGGAAATCACCGTCCGCTCACCTGAGGACAACGATCTGCGGCCTGCAGCGAGCCAGCTCCCACCAGATTAACAAATACTAGTTACAATAGAATAACGATCATGAAAATATGACACGCCGACTACTGGTAGTTGCAGCAATAGTAATGAAGCTGTCGAACCATAGCAGCCAGAATGTTAAGAATGTCCGACTATCTGCGCGAATCTGCGCGAATCTGTGGCTGACACGGGGCAATGAGAAGTTGCCCTCAGCTCTGGAACCCAGTATAGAGTATAGAGTTACAAAACATGAAGAAACATGTTTACCCTTACTCAGTAGATGTTGTTGTGAAAGGGTCACAACAATGAAGGTTCTTGCAGGCTCTTGCTCCTCGCGCCTCATCGTTGGCACCAAGCTCAGACCTCCACAGGCCACCAAGCTGCGGGACTTTTTGCCAACAGCGGCTGTGCGAAAGGCATGCGCGTCTGAGATAAATATATATATATATATATATATATATATATTCTGAGGTTCTGTAAAAGACCAAGCGTCGTAGTACTTGGCATTTCGCTTGTCGCTGGTCTTCTTCATGGTCATGTACCAGTCCAGGTGCTTCATCTTCCGCCTCATGCCAGATCTTCTCACGCATGTTCAGCTTGAGACGCTGGAGGGCAAATGGTTTTCGGAAACATACTCCCAAGCGTGAGGACTTTAACGCTTCTATGGAGGCAAGCCGCTGCTTCTTGACGAAGTCCTCGCGGATGCGGTGCAGGGCCATGATGACCGCATGCCTTGAAAGTCGGATTTAGGGTTTTAACGGTTCAGTGCCGCCAGAAGGGCGCCAAGGTACCAGTACTTTCCATTCACCTCTTCTTCGAAAGTGATTTCGTCCCACCTGGCCAGGCGTGGCTTCTTCAACTCGAGCTTCCCCCCAAAGAGCATGCAGTTAGGTTAAATCAAAGGGAACCTACTACCCCCCCTACAGTAACGCATGCCCAGGAATTCGCCCCAAACACACCAAAACATGAACTGTGCAACGCGGCATAGCCTGGCAACAAAACAGTCCGAGAGGAAAGCTCTATCCCATACTCAACGACGAGTGCAGATGAGTAGCTGCAGATCACCATCCTCTCGCTCATGGCAGTTGTCGAGGGTGATGGGTGGCAACTGGATAACCTGTTGAAACATTCACAGGCATTTAGGGATTTACGGATTTAGGGATTCAGGGTCACCAGATGGGGGGATCGTGCCGTCCACACGTGCATCCGAAATCCGGAGGGGAAATTGGGCGATCAACTTCCTTAATTAAGCTAGTCAAGGAAGCATGTTATCATGGGGGGCCCCGGTTCCAGCTAGTGATGTCGGCTGCTTTCAAGCTGATCCTGGCAAGTGTTTCCCCAACCTCCTTCAGCTTCTCCTCGGTGATGTCTACACCCTTTCTCCAGTCCTTGCAGCACTCGCACGTCCAATAAAACTTGCCCCCACCATTGTCCTGAACCTGTGGCTCGAGACCCTAAACTCCTAAACCCCGTCCTCCACATCCTCCTCTGTGAGGTCGATCTCGCACCAGGGGTCTTCCGCCTTGCCGATAGTCACCTTCACCATGCCCTGAGCGACACGTTGACATCTTCTCGTGCTTCTTCTGCAAGTTAGACAAGTTCTGGTTCAGCGTTGTTTTTTAGGGTTCTGCGGGCTTCGAACAGAGAAGTACCGACCCGTGTGCTTGGTAGGGACAAGCTGCGACCACGGGCCACGTGGCGTTCTTGGGGCGAGCGCGGTACTCTGAGCCCAGAGGCTGCGGAGGCCGAGAGCCTGTGCTCCATGCATTTCCACTCTGTCAGCCCATGAATGCACCCCTCTACGAACCGTAAAGAGCCTGATTAGCTGCTGCTAGTTGATCCGCTTGGCCAGTAGACTCCAGTAGAGAAAACAATGCGGGAGCTCCCCATCGGTTCTTTCACTTGGAAGCTGAAACCAATCTAAAGCGGGGGCTGGAATCCCTGCCGCTCATGCGTTCTGGAACCTGTCAGCGGGACAGCAATACGAGCTGGGACTCGCAAGCTACTGAGTGATCTCAAGATGCTCCCACACTTTGGTGAAGCATGCTGGAACCGATTTGTCCTTTGAGCTCAAGAGGCGTGGGACCTGCATGTGGATGCCAGAGTCAATGACTGACATGAAAGGATTGTTTGGGACGGCGTAGTCGGACATCACGTGCTAAGGAACAGATCCCCACATGCTCTCGTTGCAAGCCGTTCCCGGGCCCCTGGGATGTGCTCAGTTCTCGAACTCCCTCTACACCTGAGCTTCATGAGAGGCACAAGACTCTTAAGAAGCAACGAGCGGCCAGGTGTAACAACGGCACCCTCCAAAGGCACACATCGCCAGGTAGCGTAGTACTTGGCATTCCTCTTGTCGCTTGTTTTCTTCATCGTCATGTACCAGTCCAGATGCTTCATCTTTCGCCTGATGTGCTGAAACCCCATCAACCTACAGCGCAACTTCCCGGCCAACGTGATCACATCACCGAAGGTCTCAGGAATGTCCCAGTTTGGGCCAAGATGCTGCTTCTTGACGAAGTCTTCCCGAATGCGATGCAAGGACATGATGACTGCATGCCTTGAAAGCTCGTTGTGGTTTTTTGTGTTCAGGGCTTTGGGTTCCGAGCTCAGTCTAGACCTACCTACGAAGGCCAAGCGCATCGTCTGGCTGCAAGCAGCTTCACTTGTGTTTGGTGGAACAGCCCGCAGTTGGGAACCTGGGAACTTCGGTACCCTGCGATTGGTCATCCCAGCCGCCAATATTTCCCATTCACCTCCTCTTCGAAGGTGATCTCATCCCACCTTTCTTTGCGGGCTGGTTCTTGCAACTCTGCTCCGAACGTGGCTCCTTGCGACTGCGTGCTAGAGCTCCTGGTTCGATGATGGCTGCTCTTATGATCTGCAAAGCGACTGAAGGTCGCCATCCTCTCGCTCGTGGCAGTTGTCCAGCGTGATTGGGGGCAGCTGGATGACCTGGGCTGTAAAGGCAATGTGCAGCTGTCAGGGCGACATCGCAGCATGGCCTCCTTGAGCTTCTCCTCGGCGATGTCGACGCCTTTTCTCCAATCCTTGCACATGCAAAGCATGCCAGAGTGCCCGAGAAACTCCCCTAAACCCCAAATTTAAAGAAGATTTAGTCCTCCACATCCTCCTCCGTGAGGTCGATCTCGCACCAGGGGTCTTCCGCTTTGCCGACGGTTACCTTCACCATGGCCTGAATCAAAGATGTAGATGAGGGTGTGCGGATGCGATGGTATCGAGCTTGGGATTTAAGGGTCAGAATGGTTCAGAGTTGAAGTTTCTTGGGTTCTCACACACAAACTGTACGAAAGGACTATCCCCCAACTGCCGGCGAAGGGACGGACGCTGCCACGAACAGCGGTCCACAAGAAGAGCAAGCCAGATGGAGCTTGAGAAGCAGGCTGCAGAGTGTGGTGTGGTCTGGCGCTAGAGCTAGCAGGGCTTGCGGGGGATGCCCGACTTTTAGGGGTTCTTGCTGCAACTGCTCTGCATCCTAAACCTCCCACGATTTGAGGGCTTAGAGGAGTTTAGTTTGTAGGGTTGAGGGGCCCGCGCGCCCAGGTCTTGACCCAGGACCTCGAAAGTCCACGCCGCTCTAGACCATACTTCGTCCAGCAAGGTGCGCTTGAGGACTCTTTAGGATTTTGAGTGTTCTCCCTACACCTGCTGAGATCTTCTTGCCTTGGAGTTTCTGGCTCCGAGTCAGACCCGCCGCTTCTCCTACTCGCGGCGGCTGAGAAGGTTACGTCGTGCAACGCATCATGCATGGCCCCAGGCGTCACCCAATAATCTCGACTGACTCTTTTGGTCGTCGCTGTACAGGGGGCTTGCAGATGCCGAGACGACATGAGACGACAGCAGCGGAAGCGGTGTGCAGCACTCCTAGAGCTGTATAGCTGCAGTTGACCCGCCCGACGGCCGCAATCGAAAGGCCCTTAGCCTCAGTGCTTCTTTACACTGGCCCGAGGTGGCCGCTGAGCGTATACGGCTCATACAACAGTATACGCATGTTGACTAGAGACATTGTACATTATTACACGCATGATCTGCATGGAGTCTCACCTCCGCAGTTGGCTGGCTTGCGGTTCGGGAGGAGAGGAAAAAGGTTGGCACCTGCAGTTGCTTCAGCTGGCACGAAGCCTTCCCCCAACACTGCCTCGTTCACAAAGGGGAAGGCATCCGCCGTCTCGCGAAACAGCTCCGACAAAAGGGACGTGTCCGGAAAGGCAGCAGAGAAGCCCCCAACAGTCGCTAGCTGCTCAGTGGGGCTGTAGTTCACCCACCAGTGCACAGAGCCCCGGGGAAACACAAAGGTGTCTCCTTTCTTTACGTCGACAGTCACCAGTTGGGGAGCCTTACCCGTGTTCACACGATAGAAGGACACCTGACCGGAGCCACTGATGACTGTGTTCCACTCAGCTGCATTCGGGTGCGTGTGGGCCGATACAATGCCGCAGTAGCTGACCACGAACTTCACGAGCGATTTCCCTCCTGTCGAATTTGAACTGAAAAGACAAGTACGCCAGCATAGACCCATAACAGTGGGAGACCATTTGAGCCCAGAAGACCAAATCGCTTTTGACAGTTTCGCAGCTCGTGAGCCCACACGTCCAAAAGCGATGACAGTTTCGCATATCGTGAGCCAGAAGTCCAAAAGCGATGGCAGCTTCGAGGACGGCAAGCGCGGCCACGCCCCCGCCCAAGTGACAGGGCGATTTTCGTCCAAACTGGGAGCAGGCTTCAACAACGAAAATACATGGTCCGCAGCACGCGCCGGTCGCGTGCGCCCGCAAAATGTGGCCGATCTAGCTCCTTCGACCCTACACGTTGGAACCCCTTAGTCTTGACACACTCTTTGGGAAACAAAACATGCAAACACGGCATTTGCTCGGAATCGCCGCTGACGAACCAATGAAAGTAGATGAGCCGACACCTCTTGCGCAAGCCCCGCTGCTGAATCAGACCCTTCTCACTCACCGACGACCGAGCGACTTGCTAGCCATGCATAGAGCCTTCTTTGTAACGTTCTTGTATGTTGAAAGCATCTGAAAGGCCCCAAACCTCTCCAGCTCGAGCCAAGAAGACACTTTCCTTGGAAAGGCTGCCCCTGTCCTGCCACGTTGGTCAAGCCGGGCCAGAGCGCTGCTGCCGGCGGGCCGCCTCCCGTGGCTGTCAAAGACAGGCCTGGCAGCGGTTTACAGAGCAGGGTTTTTACAGTGTGCTGCGGGTTTTTGCAGAGCTTTAACAGTGAGGCTTTTCCAGGAATTTTACAGGGTTTACTGCCCTTACAGCAGGGCTTGCGCAGGGCGCTTAAGGTTTAAACGGTTAATCCGCGGTCTTGTAGATGGTATTGAGAGTGCCCTTTGGGGTTCACCTGGACGACACCAGGACTTGAGGCGATGCTTCAACGCATGTCTTGAGTCTTTGAGAGTTGTTCTGAAGCTCTTCATGAGACTAGGTGATAAGATTGAAACCCCACTCATGGTTCAGTTTGATTCTACGGGAGGCTAAGCCCGAAACACAGGGGGAGCCGCAGAGCAAGACCGCGGACGCTAGGATTTCAGGGAGCCTGTAACCTGAAGAACAAACATTACAAACATCGGTCCCTTCAGTTGAGCCCCTGTAGGGATGCGTCTCATCAACTTGCGGCCTCCATCGAAGCTCGGTCGGGAAGACTCGGTGCCTGCGACGCCCTCACCTGAGGCAAGAGTCGGAGACAGGATTTACGTAATTTGGGTTTCCTCAAAGAGTAGGAACTGACTAACTGACTTATGGCAACAACATTGCCTCGCTAACTCTACATACAAGCAAACCGACTCCGTTCCAGAAAATATCTTGATCTCCTTTCGCAAGTCGAAGGTTTTCTGGTGGGAGGATCCAGGCTTGTGGTGCCAGACGTGCCCTACGCATGGGGTTCTTACACGTTGGTGTCTAAGGTTGCTTATGGGAAGCTCCTGGACAGATCTCGTGGTATTCTTTCGAACGGTATATCCGCTTGGAGCCATAATGAACTCGAACAATCCAAGGAAAATTGCCTAGACAACAAGCCCAAAGCCTTGATTTTTTAAAACCTACACTCAGCTTTACTTAGCCCAGCTTGACAAACCGTACAAGGCGAAGTGCCAATAATCAACGTCATGAACCCCCAGATCAATCTGGCCGCTGCGGCCGACCACCTTCCCTGCAAGCGGCCGCTATCCTTCGGATGCAAAGACACAGTAGCTCTAAAGTGTCCCATGCTTCTAACTCATGCCCGTACTATCTGCGAGTATGTTTGCTCTGATTCCCATTCCTGTTACAGAGATGCTCCCTGATTCTGCAGGGTCCTCCGCCGCAGGGCGGCTTGGGGCAAGAGACAGGGGTGTCTGCTGCGGTGAGGCCGTACTTTCCCGAGCTCAGCTCCTCTGCCCGGAACATGTCCGTGCCGCTGGGGTTCTTCTGGAAGCTGTCCCTTGCAGCCCTGCGCTGTCGGGAGCGGGCAGCGGCGCAGGCCTCTGGGGTAAGCTTGGGAAACAGTGGGCTGTCGCCGTCCTGAAGGGGAACGGTGTTCTTGCGCCCATTGGACTGGCCGATCATGGTGTTCAGCAGAGGCATGTCCTGCATCAAGGTACCCACAACTCCCACTCCATCATCGTATCCCACGAGGGCCGTGTCAGGGTCATCGGTGTTGAAGAAGGCGCCAACAGTCACCAGTGCCTCCTCGCCGAGGTTCACCCACCAGTGGTAAGCCGCCTCTGCAAAGAAGAACGAGTCGCCCGCTCTGACGTCGGAAACCTCGAGGTGGTTCGTTTCCGTCGTCAGCTGACCGATGACGCCTGCTCCACGGATTACCGTGTTGATCTCCACAGAGTTGGCATGCAAGTGTGGCGCCACCACACCACAGGGCTCCACCAAGAAGGACATGATGGTCTGCGGCTGCTTGAAGCCCTCAAGGCCCGGTTGAGCATTGACACATCCCCCAGGTCCACGGGCCACCTGCTTTGTGCCCGCTCCGGGCTTCTCGCAGCTGGAGCCGAAAAGGCCTCGGGCCATTGTTGGGTTCGGCTCCTCGGACTCTTCGGCGCGCCTCGCTCCCCTCATGGATTTTTGCGCCAGGCCATAGGGCAGGCCTGCATAGCCTGCAAAACGCAAGCGCCGCACAAAACAAGCAGGCCAATCTTGGTTCAAACCCTAGCCACCTACAAATACAAGTACCTCTGTCAGGCTAAGCAGCTGATCAGCAGCGCGACAGCAACGGCAGCGCAGGCGGGCATTGGCGCAGCAATGCCAGGCGGCGAGCAATGGCGTCGAGTGGGGCAGGAGAGTGGGAAGCGGCTCAGGCAGCTTTATTGAAATTTTATTGAGCCAAACAATCACCGGCGTCTAAAGTCTCCAGCGCAAGGCTGCTCTCGACCTGTGTGGGCAATACCGGTGCGATGATGTGCTCCAGAATTCACTTACGCCAAGGCCGAAACAAAAAGCTTGCGTTCTCTAAAGACCTGATCCAACCCCTTAGCTTAAGATTTGAACATCTACAATCACGGAATGCATGAAGACACGAGGCCACGGCCAGCAGCGCTGCGTTCTGCCGCATCGCAGGCCCGAGTTGCTCCACAGGCACCTGTCAACGGACGCCTATGGCAACAGAAGGCCTGTAGGCGAGGATTGGGAAAACCCAAATTCAAGCGTATTCCCTCCACCCAAAATCCCAAACCTTAGGGACATCTTGGTACCAAAACGGTGCAAACCGCACAGCAAAAAGCCGATTTCAGGGAGAGCCATGGAAGTAGCTTAGGGCGCATTTAGGGCAAGGAATGCTCTCAGGCGAGTGTGGGGCCGGTGTCAGTTGGAAGCTTAGAGAGATTCGGGGCTCCAGCTCCCGGAACAAGATGCAAAACGACTGCCGCTTCGACCCTGAAACCTGAAACTCCCTAAGCGCAATTGATAGAGCATGTAGCGGTTCGCCAAGCCTCCGGAAGCAAACAGCCCATGGAGATGTGGAGCAGGCAGAGCCTGAGGGTTTGGGGGGTTTAGGACTTAAAGGTTTAGGGATTTGGCCTTCAAATGGTTGGAAACTGCTCACCCGAACATCCCTGAATCCCTAAACCCCTAAAAAGAGATATTGGGATTAGCTCCCTTCATGCATTGCATCCCTGGCCTAGGCCCATCGGAATCTGGTTGGTAATTGATGTCCTTCGCTCAGTTTCCCGCATTGCGTCCATCCGAAGGTACCGGTTGGCGAATTCCATCACCTGTTCAGACAACAGCCACGTTTCCTACTCTCGCGTGCGTTTCTTAACTATTTCAGCCTTTGATGGCTGAAGGGCAGGAGGGCTCCCAGAAGCAAACTGCCAAGAATGACTCACAATCCAGCAGAATCCATGAGCAAAAAATAGTTATCATAATAATCATAATAATAATCATCATCATCATCATAATTATCATGAAAGGGCCTCGAGGCAGGGCAGGATGATCTTGTCCAGCTCCTGGAGCTGCGGATGCTTCCCCAGGAATTTGGGGCTTAGGGTATAGGGCTTAGGGTTTAGGGGCTTAGGGCTTAGGGCTTAGGGCTTAGGGTTTAGGGTTTAGGGTTTAGGGTTTAGGGTTTAGGGTTTAGGGTTTAGGGTTTACGGGCTTTCGGGAGGACTCCCTTAGCATCCCTCGCATCAGTCCTGCGCCTTCAGGTTCTCGGCAATGCGGTCAAACTGGGCCAGCCTGAGGAGAACTTTTGGGGCTTGAGTGGGCTTGAGCTTACTAAGCTTGCAAGGGGTTTCTTCAATGCTGCCGCTTGAGCTGAGCTGCGCAAGGGCGAACTCGGGCAGTTCTCCCCGGTACCTGAAAGCTTCGCGCACGGAGCCGCGTGCTGATACAGATACATTCTCATTCTCAGGCTGTCAATCTCAGGCTTCTTTGAAACATGAGGGTTTCGGGATTTAGGGCCGAGGCAGCAGCAGTGCCCCAGCTGACAGAAAGCTGCGCAGAACGTCGCTTCAGCTGTCGGAGCACAAGAACTCATCGAACATGCACAAGACCTTGCACAGCTCTCCGCGCGGCAGTTCATCGGTCCGTTTATCGTATCGTGCAGCGTGCAGATTAAGTAGTTATCAGACTAGATTGCGTTGCTCCAGAAGATCGAAATGGAGGCTGGCTTGCTTGAGACGTCTTGAAGCATGCGCCATCTGCTTAGTTTGCTCAGCGTAGCTCACGGCAACGTGCAACTTTGCCACGGCGCACTCAAGCTTCGAGTTAGCCATCCCAAGGATAACCAGAGTGCCATTCACATGATCTCGGATGGGAGTTGCGAAGCCATAACTCAGGCCTCCTCATCGCGGAGAGGCCGCGCACCGCCGCTTAAGGCGGCCTCGCATTGGCAGGTCTCGAGCTTGAGATTCAGGCCTCAGTGTTGAGAGTTCAGGGATCTTGTTTGGCTGTTGGTTTTTGCTTTTTTTGGGGTTTAGCGCTTTAAGTTTTAGGGTTTAGGTGCGAAGGCTAAGGATTGCTGCGATTGCACAGAGGACACGCGGCAGCAGGTCAACCGAAACCAAGAGCTCGTGAGACCTCCGGCATCTGAACCCCCCAAGCCCTGGACTCTGCAAACCACCTTTACCACAACCTTGGGGGATCCAAAAACCCTTCTGTGCCTCGGAGGGGTCCCAAGCGATCCCCCATCCCCTGGGCAGATATGCAGGGCCGCAACTGCCCTGTAGGGCTCAGAAGTCTGGGTTGGTGCGAAGGATCTCTACTTCAGATGCCATATAACGAGTGAATATATATATATATATATATATATATACATAATATATATATATATATATATATATACATATACATATACATAAAGATATAGAGAAATATATATATATATGTATATATATATATGTTTATTGTTAATATTTATAGAATACGAGAACTTAGATATTTACATATGTAGATATGGACATATATCACATATTTAGATTGTTTCTCTACGATAGGAGCTTAACCTAATTCCTTAGCAGCGCAACCCAGGCATGCCCCCTGTTACCCCATCAAGGTGTCTGGCATGTAATGGCCTGCCATCGCACGTGTACATGGGGCCACGACCGGTGCGCCCTTTGGAACAACGCACCAAGTCTGTGCTGGGCCCACTGCGAACAGTCCGGGCGCGGCGAGGTCTGGGAAAGGTGGGTCGCTGGGCAAAGTTCGGTCTCTCTTTTAGGATTTAGGATTTAGGGTTTTAGGGTTTAGGGTTTAGGGTTTAGGGTTTAGGGCGGCTGCTGAGTTAATTGACCTGCTTGAGAAACCAAAACCGGACCCTGCCCAGATTGACATGAACTCAACACGTGGAAAATGTTTGAAAACGTCCCACCATCTACTCTCGAAGCCTTCACCCTTGGGACCGACATCTTCATTTCCTGGAATTTCTCTACACCTGTATGTGTCCAGTCTAGCTCTTCCATACCTCGTCACCTTCGAACAGTCTCTTCTCCGGAACTGTGTGAAATCTTAAGTTGATATTCATGCCCTCTTCCGTTCGATGTTAGGCCTCCTCCTCTTCGAGATCGCTGTCCACCACCTCAGGGACGGATGTCACAACATGTATGTGGCTGGGATTCCTGCTCCGCACACGTGTCGCAACTCCCACTCCGCCTGGGCCAAGACCAGGAGTCGGCTCAGGTCCTCCACAAAAACCACCGATGCAGAATTTTGCGCATGTCTTGATACATTTCGGAGGAGGAGGAGGAGGGGGTGGGGAGAGGAGCTGCCTTTTCTGGCCATCTTTTGAAAGTCAGCCTCCACCCTCAGATTGGTAGATCATATGAACTTGCTGCAAGACTACATCGCCATGTGATCTTCTTGCACTGGTGCTCTGCTAGTCTAGTCTTGAGACACCACACTGCCACAACTGCACATGCTGCTACACAGCTGTATTGCTGAAGCCACTTTTCGAGTGTACCAGAGTTTCAATCGCAGGTAGTTCCGCTGCTGAGAACAGAGTACCAATAATACCTTACCACGTTCCTTAACTGCATGTTCTACAAGTAACATCATTCTCAAGCATCATGCTCACACGACATATCATGAACATGGCGACGAAAGCCACTGTGCTCTTCTGCACGAACGTTGCACCCTTTTTAGGGGCAACATCTGCAACAGGGTCTCCCAATTTTTCCGAAGGTGTACACAGCAAAAGGGGTCTGAAATGAGGGGCAGCCGCTTACCTTAATTGCAATCTAGCATGTCGGTAGATCCTTCCCGCCTCCCGCTCTTCCCGTGCTCGCGGGATGCGCTGCGGCGGTGGTTCTGCTTCCACCACCGTGGTTCTTGGCACGGTGGGGGGCATGGGCGCCGGCACGGGTGCCGGAAGGGGCACCGGGCTGGGCGCTGGCATGGCTTTGGCAGAGGGTTTTAGCTAAACAGGCTGAGGAGTGGCATTCGAAGCATGCTGCAACTTCTCATGATGACGTTGCTTCTGCTCACCAACTGTCCGAAGCTCGTCGAGGCTTCTTTGTGCTCCAGCCGGTATGGTGGTAATGCATGATAGAGGTGCCACAAGTAATAGTGGGGAGAGGTACCATAAGACGTATGACAGTGTTTGGGGAAAGATGCGATCATGGCTTTGAGCAGCAAGCACGCTGAAGGTCAGTCTCAAACTGGAGCGAAACTGGATCGAAACGACGGACATCTGCAGCGAGAGCAACATGTTCGGAGGAAGAATGCCACATCAGAGTCAGAGATGAAAACGTAGTCATGTCAACATCTTCGAGATCGATGCAAGGCACATGTCACCTTTTTGCGATCGGGCTCGTGCGAGCCTTCCGGCCCTTCCGGCACAGTATATTGGGGGTTTACGAACATAAGGGACGCCCAAGAACCCCAATAAGGCACCTGATCTCATGATCCTTGCAACCTGCGTGCTTACGGGCTGGCTCACTTGCGGCAGTCAGTCGCGGCGGGTAGTGGAGGAGCTTCACAACCTCACAAACATTGCCCCAGTGTCCGATTCTTTCCCCCTGTGGAAGGAAGAAGTCACCAGGGCTTGTGTTTCTGGGTACTATGATGGCTTTCGGCATCTTCTGACATCTTCCGCATCTTCTGCCCCTCGTAAAACCCTAACACAACGTGCTGTTCCCCACTGCCACTCCATCTTGGCTCCCACCTTGAGAGCGCTCTCGACGGGGGGAAGCCCCAGCCAGCAAATGTTACCTGACGCTCGGAGTAGCGTAGGAAGATGTTGGAAGTGGAGGAAATTGGAAACATCGGAGATTGAAAGAAAACCCTACTGGGAAAACTGGGGGGGGGGGGGGGGGGGGGGGGGGGGGAACTCCTCGGACTCCGAAGACCGAAAAGATTCGACACCTCGACACCCTGGCGGCCCTCTGAGGCAGATGCCCAAGTATCATCTCGTAGATGATGACCTGCAGAACACTGCAGACCAGAGGGGATCAGAGAAATCCCAGGGGCCCTACAGCTTCTGCCATCCCACAGTCAGGAGGTGCGCACAAGGACGTTCATCGCCACCAGAGGGTACCGCATAAATGTTCGCATGGCATGGAGGAAGCTGGCGACCTGATCGAGCTGGGTCGAGCATGCTAAGGCTGCTGAGGTGTCTCGGTGGTATCGGCTTTGGCTTTTGAGAGTTTAGGACATTTTCGGGTTCGGCGTTTGTGGGTCACAACTCCTCAGAAGCGACTTTCACCAAGCAAAAGCCGCACACGCACACACACAGGCAGGCGACAGAAGGCAGCGCCCCCACGAACAGCCCCTGCTGTCATTACACAAGAATGCCACGTTGAGTGGGGGGGGGAGAGGTTTTTTTTGAAATTCAGGCTAGGGGAATGCAAAAACCAAGTGCCTGGTTCTTGGGCCCCAGGTTCTCGCCCACCACTGCCGAGTCCAAGCCGTATTTTCGCCTCGAAAAGCCCCGCACTTTGAACGCTTTTGGAGGTTTGCGGGTTTTGGAGGTTTCGGACTTAGAGGGGTTGAGGTTTTCTGGGTTTCGGGTCTTGAGGGTCCTGGAAGGAAAACAAGCGAGGCACTCTGTGCAAAGACTCGAAAGATGCAAACAAATCATCCAAGCGCAACAAAGGGGGTTTCCTAGTAGCCCCTTGAGAAGCTTGGGGTTGTTTGCTCAACCTATCAGACACAAAGCCACCTGCTGCTCCGCCCACGCAGGTACATACGGTTGTAGACATCACAGCGATGGTCGCAAGCATCGTCGGAATTCCCCTTCCTGCACTCCTCTCCGGTCTCCACCCTGCTTAACGCTAACGACACCCCAAAACCCTAAACCCCCTGAAAGGTCTGAGGATAGGCGCAAGAATCGTTTTTCATTCAGAATGGCGGCGGCGTTCATGAGCAGAAGCCCGGCCTGTGCGGCATGAAGAAAGGCAGAGGGGTCACAGACAGTTGGGGAGCTTAAAGGGCCTCTTCAAGCGACCTAAGAAGAACACGTGGGTCATTCTATGCTTCGCTCGGACCTCGAAAAGGTGCACCAAGCCGATCGCCATCCCGGCGTCGATGCCCGCAGGCCCCCTTCGTTGAGGGTTGTGGAGTTTAGGGTCTTTCGAGGAGTTTCCGCGAGAAGTCTTTTGAGACAACCAGAAGCTGCGCAGCTTGTCGAGCCTGCAGCCCGCCCCCGGGCGTCTCTCCCGGAAAAGGACTCTCACCGGTTCTAAGCCAAAGCCCACGGCGAGGATTCAGATTTCCAGATGGGCAGACTCAGGAAGATGCATCCCGACGCATCGTTTGACCCCAAACCCTAAGGCGCTGCCCGATTCCCTTGAAGCTGGGCTTAACAACCAGTCCCTGGTATCTTGGACTTCCAAAGGTCCTAAGGCAAACCCGTCCATGGTCTTCTCGCACCATCTACAACTCTTCTTGCATCCAACAGATTCGAGACGCAAGTTCGTTTTGGAGATTTTGGAACGGCCAGCGCTCGCAACGCATGGGAAAAAGCGCGCAAATGACTCAGGCGTGTGCCTGCGTGCTACATGCTGGTGTTAAATGCTGCGCAAGCATGCCAGTCCAAGCGCAAACCTGACAACATGCTGCAAGCTTCGACCCCTACTATAAGGCCCAAAATACCCCAAACCACTTGTCTTAAGGCATCCTAAGCACACGCGCACGCAGACGCACACGTGCACACGTGGACGCGCTGTGGCAACCCTGAGCCGGCCAAGCCGTGCCGGCATGCAAGCAAACAGGATCTCCGAGTAAGCCAATTGTTGCCAGGTGCCTTCACAGAAGATTCAGAGTTCATGTCCACCAGCAGCCGCTCTCTATGTACACTCTGTGACTGCCCGACGCCCTCGAATAAAGGGTCCGCACAAGCGGGCCGCTCGCTTTCAGACACCTCGCCTGCCATGCCGGACAACCTGCACGAAGGCTCGGACAACTACGAAGTCAAATCTGGCCCTGAAACCTATGTGAGTGCGCAGAGTTGGAGTAGGATGTGACTCAACTTCGCCAGTGATCTGATGAGGCATCTGCACTCAAGAGCTGCAGTGCAAGGAGAATGGCCACCCTGCTCTTGCTCGCTCTTTTTCGTCGGCTATTTGGGGCGCCATCCGCTTCGGCCAGCAGTTGCTGGCCCCGGAATGACCAGGAACTAGAGGTGAGATAGCAAGGCACTGGCACATGAGGCCGGCCGGCTCCAGAGATACAGCACCCAGAACGGTCAGCCTCCGCGGCTGCGACTTCGACAAGGCTGGACACTTGCAAGCCTTGTGGGAAAATTGCCAGGCTGCAGGGCGGGCTTCAGGCACCCGAACGAAAGGAGCCGGGACATTGCAGGATGTGACCTAAACAAACGATTGACAAGCCCAATGGAAGCCGAAGCCCTGCGATGCAGAGCCCACGAAAGCCTGCTAGGCAGGCAAGCGCATCGTGATAAAAAAAAACAAGGGAAACTACTACACTTCATGAAAGGACTTGGCCTGGACCCAAGTCCGGACTTCGCGTCCCATGCACATTAGCATCAGTGAAGTGGTGCCACTTGTGGGACCGCACAACCGGAATTTGGACCGTGGCGCATCCTGGTCTTTAGACATGCGCAGCTCCCACATCACTCCTGGGCAGAAAGGATTCAGGGTGTATGGCGCACCATGACGACATGGCACGTTCACGTCCGAAGCGGCAGCAGCACGTGAACCCAGCACTACTCAGAACGATCTCATGAAGCTGAGGCACGTCGTATTGGTAACGCTGAAGTCCATCCGGGACCGCTTGGTTTCCCTGCAACGAACCGGCACCGAGCATCAAAAAACTGAACCCTGCAAACCTCATCCTAAGTCCTAAGCGGCTTTTGTAAGAAGCTGTTCTTTCAGGGCAGGGTTGGTGCTTTAGTCAGCGCTGCTTCGATTCGGAGAGACATTCTTCGCACATGGCCAGAGGTAGATAACAGACATAACGAGCGGAGCGAGCCTTCCCAGCGCCCCTGGCTCCACCGAAGTCGATGTCGGTGAATTCCTCGGGCGGATCCGCACGGCACAAAGAAATATCCTCTGGCAAGCATGGGAGGGCGTTGGCTGTTCGAGGCCCTCTCTGTGTCAACCTAGACCCCAAACAGCGGGCCTCTCGCGCAAGGTGCAGAATCGCTGAACCCGCAAAAACATCTTGACGAACCTGACAACAAGCTTGGACAACAAAAACAACACTTAAAAAATCTTGGGGGAAACTTAACACCCCCAAACCCTACTCCCTACCTTTTTCTACCGGAGCTGGCGGCGCTTGTCGGAATTATGGCCCCCCTCGCAACCCCAGACGACGTTACTATTTCTACTGATATTACTACTCCTATTGCTGCTATCGCTACTTGTGATATTTCAGAATGGTAAGTTCTGCTCGCATGACTCCGATTATGATTGTTACTTACTATGAGTGTGATTATGATTCGTTCAGTGTCACAAAGACTTTCAAAATCCAAGCTTCCAGGCGTGAAGGGTCGGCCTTGGCTTTGGACTCTGCAATGCCCTGCTGCAGCCTGGGGGAGGAAAGCAAACAAGAGCCAGGAGTCGTTTTGGCTTCGGGTTCGCCTCGGGTATTCGTCATACTGATAATACTCAGAAGATGACAGTTCAACACTGCTTCCATGTAGTGTTCAAGTGTGCCGGGCTTACGTGTACAAGTAGGGCTTGGATGGGTTTAGGGATGTGGACTAGCCAGTCGGCCAGATACGACAGCATTCTGGACTACAAGGCTGACATCATGCGTTACATGCTGAAGCTCGCAGGACGGGGCTCGCCGTAAAAGTCCTCAATCTCGGCATCTCGGCAAACGCCCTTGCACTAAGATCCAATACCAAGCGCGGCTGCCCCGGAGATGAGCCCCTGACATATCCAGCAGCTTGGCAGGCCGCCGCTCAAGCAACGCTCGAACCTCTCCAAGTCTTGGTGATTAAGAGTTACTTACTGAGATACATGGGCCAGGAATCCTCAATCTGCACCAAGTTGGAGGCACTGCAGCATTTACACCTGTGCCCTGGGACAGCAGCAACAGGCAGAACCGCCACCTCCTTGAAAGTCAGCTCGGTGTCGCGGATGCTCCGCTTTTGCGTTCGCCAGCGCCAGTACCTTTGCTCGTCGGCTTTACGGCTTCCGCGCCTATGCTACGCGGTGCCCACTGTGCTTCCTCACAATTGTTTCTGTTCATTGGCTACCTGAGGCGACGAGCAGGGCGACGCAAAAACCTTGCGAAACTGCCAGACTTCGAGCGCAGTGTGCCAGTGGAAGAAGGCGGCGCTGTAGACCAGGCAGGTCATCTCGAAGACGCCCTACCACAAGCGCCATGCTTCTGATAGCGAAGGATTCCGTATCGTCTCCGACTCTGCCAGCATCACTTGAGGACTCCATAGTTTAATAAAACCACTAGAAAGCCCGAACAGCCTTGTGGGCTTCAAGGTTCGAGGCTTAGAGACAGGTGTTGAAAAGCCCGAACCCACAAGATCCAAAGCCACTCACTGTTGTAGCCTCCCGGAGCCAAGCAGTTGGACTTAGCAGGCTCATCGGCTTGACATCGGACCTGCAACCTTCAAAACCTCCTAAATCCGCCGCCCTAAAAACCCTCAAAAAACAAATCCGCACCCGAAGCCGCTAACCCCTCGTAACCCCTGCAAACCCTGAAGCCCCCAAGGTTCTGAACCCACTAAACCCCGGCTCCGGCCCGCGAGCCATTGCAGAGCTTGGACAGTCGGCCCTCGAGTAGGCACTCAATGACCATCCTGAATCTGGCTTCTTAGGGTTTCAGGGTGTTGGGATTCTAATTTCAGGGGTTTAGGGTTTATACGGCTTTTGTGTTCAGAATGTAGGGCCTTCGGGTTATAGGGTTTCGGAGTCTTGGGTTTTTCGGCCCCTTCCTCATACGCTCCAACTGTTCTACCTGGTTACCAACCACCTGGGCAGCCGCAATCTTGCGTTCGGGCTTCCTGAACCACGGCTTCGGCTTGACCCCGGGCCTCTACCATGGCACGGCCTGGGCCTGTAGTGGGTTTAGGACCAGAAAGGAAGTAAGTCCTGCAGCTCATTCCTTGTGATGAGGTGCGAAGATGTTCGTAGCAAGACGACCCACAGACAGTTGCAGCCCAAGCGGCTTGGTGATGTTTATTGACACGCAGGCGAGGGGAAAGTTGTGCTGCGCATCTTGCGCCAGCAGGTAGGCCGATTTCATGAGGTCGAAGTGGTGCGAAAAGAAATAGAACATTTGCATGACGTTCAGGACGCCCCCAGAACGGTTCAAGTCCTTGGCCGCGCCGCAGTGTCGCACTCTGTCTGTCGAGTGTGCCTACTTGTCTGCTCCCACTTTCTCGCTGCTTCTGTCCCTCTGTCTCCGCCTCTGTTTCTGTCGTATTTGGCTCACTGCCACTGTCTGTCACACGAGTGCTGTCCGGCTGCTGTCCCTCTTTATTTCTCTTTGTCTCGCTTTATTTTCTTCCTTTCCCTTTATTTCTCTTTCTTTCTCTTTCTTTCTCGTTCTTTCTCTTTCTCTTTCTTGTTCTTTTTGTCTTTATTTGTTTGTTGATTTCTTTTCGTTCTTCTCTCTCGCTCTTTTTGCTCCTCTTCTGCGCACTCTCTCGCTCTCTCGCTCTCTCGCTCTCTGGCTCTCTGACTCGATCTTTGGGATGCGTCGTGGACTGATTATATCAATATAATGCTGGCTGCCAAGAGTCGGTTCTGGGATCTCCGCTTTGAAATCCCAGGAGTTCCCAGTGTCTGCCAACCGTTGGGCAAACCTTATTCCTTGACAGCTTGCCGTACATCGTCCGCAGCATTCGGTGATGCACGGTGTCGTTGAAGTCCTTGCATGCATCGCTCCAGGGGAGCTTACAGCTGCAGCCAAGGACTTTGGAAGTTGGCTTGTGCAAGAAACATCTGTGATCCTTCTAGTGTACACAATCTTCAACAACTCGAGTCAAATCTTTCCGAGCGTCAAAGTGCGTGACTTTGAGGAAGAGGACTAGATCCTTCTCCGCCCAGAACCTGCACAAACGAATTGACAAAGGGCTGGGGTACTGCGAAGAATGCTCCGCTGGTAAGGGATTTCAGACTCTCATTCGACAACGTTCCGGCCGCCATGTCTTTGCCACTAGCAGCTCAGAGCTCAAAGCACGTAGGGTTGCCACCTATTGCAGGTAAGCCTTCCATCAGACATGTATGTATGAGGGATTATGAGGGTGTGCATTTGTGTGTGTGTGTGCTTGCCAAGTCTCCGCCGCTCAAGACCAGGGACTTCAGAACGAGGCCGCATGCGCTTCATGAAGCATCCACAGCCCGCGAGATCATCCTTGGACGTGTCAAGGGGCAAGCTGACCACAACGCACTGCGCTTGTCTGTACCACCAGAAAATTCACGCATGCTTCACTTGATATATGGGAATTTCCCAAAACCCCAAATAGAATAGAATCCCCTTAGAGGGACCCCAAAAAGGGTACCCCTATTCTTGGAAACCACCATATCCTTGGAGGAGTCCAATCTCAAATGTTGACATCAGTTCCGACCGAGTCTCCTCAATCATCTCCTCTCGCATTTGCCGCAAGGCAGCCGGGTCTATCTCCAGCTGGAGCAACCTCAATACTGGTGGCAGCAGCAGGTGCAGCATCATCAGCAGCACCACCACAAACTACAAACAGCGGTGAGAGCATTCTAGCGCTCGCGTTCTCACACATTCGACAATCGCGAACCGCCTTCCCCCGTCTTGATGCAGTTAAGCAAGTTTTCGCAACTGCTGAAATGAACCGTACCCTCTGCATCATCCACGTTCTCCTTCCGGCATTCAAAAGCCTGTCTAGAGTATGCAGCTTGACAACTGCGCCTGTCTTGACTTCAAGTAATTGCTTTTGGCCCTCTCACATCTCTGCTCGTAACACCTTGCAGACTGAAGCAGGCAGGAGAGCACGGTTAGCGAGGTGTCTTTTGCTATGAGTCAGAAGTAGCCAGCAAGAGCAACTGCACAAGAGTCATCGAGGTTCGGTGTTGGGGCTTGTGATTGTGGCAGCTGGGCACTGGCCAAAGTGCTTCACTCCAAGCCAACAGAGTCGCGCTTGTCGGAGGAATGTTAACTAGGAAAAAGGACAAGCGACCACTGCGTGAAGTCCTTGTAGCTGAGGGGTTGGCTCAGGACGTCCTTTGAGCTCTCAGCTCTTTGGGTTTCTGCAAGGCTGAAGCAGCTCCACTGAGCGATGCTTTTCTCGAGGCTTTCCTACTCCTACCGTCTTCCCCCATGATCTGCCGGAACCCCTGTAAGCCACTGCATTTCTCTGTTGAACCCCTGCATTTGCCCCTGAAGATGGCGCTTCCGTCCTGCGAGACGGCCACAACGCCTTTGGACTCACGCGCGTTCGCAATGAGCTCATCGGTCCGACGGGCAATCTCGTCCCACTCTTTGTCCAAGCTGGCATCCTGCGCTCAATCACTTGAAAAGCCTGGACTCATGATCTCCGAACCTGGCATGTGCAGAGCAACATCGCCAGCACAATCAGGATGAAGATCTGCAAGGGCTCCTCATCCGCCTCTCTGTTGCATACAGAACTGTTCGCGGGCGAGCTGTTCTGCGGCACGGGCTCCCTGCATCAGGTGCTGGCGTTGCAGGTGCTTAGGCACACGAGGCAAGCCTTTGATGGAGGCTGCTTCGGGAAGGTTAGAGTGGCGGCCTCCTCTCCGTGCTCTCTTGCATCAGGTTCGCCAGCTTGGAAACCTGGAAAATGTCTGGGCTTGAGTTGGGCTTGAGTTGATGGATTGCACAGGAAGGTTCGGTACAACGGGCCACCATTCAACAAGAGCAAAACAGTCCTGGTGAAACACTTCATGGACGGAGCTTAGACACCCTGCACCCAGGTGACTGCAGTGCATGGCCCCCCTCTCCCGTCCGTCCCCTCCCCCACCTTCCCCTCCCAAAAAAAAAACACAAACACAGATGGAAAAAAAAACAATCTCTAAAAGGGTGTAAAAGGAACACTGACAGGGCACTGGCGCAGCAAGGCTCCTGGATGGCTCCGCTCTTGCCGCAGCCCCCGAGGCGGACTCCTTCGCTTGAGGATCCCAGAATCAACTGAGTCCTTCTCAAAGGGCTCAGTGGGGTTAGGGTTTAGGGTTTAGGGCTTAGGGCTTAGGGTTTAGGGTTCAGGGCGGGTTCAGGGTTTAACATCAGGTACTTAACTCCTCATTCCTTACTAAGAACCAGTTTTCAACGGGGTTTGGGTTGTGAGTTTGGGCTTCATGCGGCTAAGCTTGTGGGGTCTAGCTGGGGTTTAGGGTGCAGGGCTACCAGAATTGGAAGGGTTGCTTCTGGCGGTGGAAGGTCCTGCAGTCCTCGGGTCCCCCCCGCCTACAGGAAGCAAAAGGCGGTCCTGATTTCGGCGAAGAGGCCCTGCTGGCTCTGCAGCCTGGGGGACTTAGGGTGGAGTTCGGCTGTTGTCCCTTTAGGCTCAGGATTGCGGGTGTAAGGTTTTGGTTTCAGTTTACGGGGTTTTGGGCTTTCGGGTCTTTGTTCGGGCTACTCTCACCCCAGTGTCTATCTGGTGCCAGGTCCCTAGCCTCCGGAAACCCTCATCTTTTCTTGACCCACCCCTCCAAGTATCCAAGCAGCCACAATCCGACTGCTGGCGGCCACAGCATCGACTGATGACCGTGCCGGAGCCTCTGGCCACTCTCGTGCCGGCAGCACAAGGATGATCGCAGGCACTCGTATTTCTTCTGCTACTGCTTCCTGCAAATACACGAATACATCGTGCAGCTTGCATTCCACTCTGCAATCCCTAAACCGTTCTGCTACTGCTACCGCTGTGAGAACTTGCGGCTCGGTAGCAGCAGGCTCGGGCGCTGCTTCGATCACCCGTGGCAGGGTGGCCTGCGCCTACAAGCACGGCATGCACGGGAGTACAGCTTCGCATTCTTAATCTTGCCAACTTAGAAACCTTCGATTTTTTGACATCCTAAGTTTTTTTTGAGATCTTGCTTGCAACCTCCGAAAACATGGACCCTAGCAAGCTTCGGCTTGGGGTCCAGGATTTACAAACCGCTCCTCGGGGATGGGGGCGAGGATGTCGGCGAACATCTCGTCTATGCCACTCGCTCTAGGCACATCTTCCTGCGCGACCGATTCACAAGCAACATACATATACATGTGTATACATACATATATATCTATATATGGTGACTGTTACATGTGTAGCTGTAGAAATGTATACATAAAAAATGTAAGTTATGCATTATTTCAATATGTACTGTTTGAACTGCTCCACTCTTGCACCGGCCCCGTCCTCGCGTTGCGCCACAACAGGCTCTGGTGGCGCCGCAGGCTCTAGTGCCTCTGCTGGCGTCGCTGCGAACCCACCGACGGCAAAAGTCACCTGGAGCATGCAGGGTGGCGCAAGTTGCCCCCCCCTATATAAACTCTTCAAACCCAAAAGGCTGCCCCAAAAACGATGGTCGGCGCCTCGGCTCCGCTGGCACGGCTGGGTGCCGCCTGCACCTCCTCTTCCTCCTGAATTTCGCTCTCCTTGCGTCGGGGGCCATGAGCTATGAAACAGGGCTTCGCATGCCTTTCTCGTGTTCGGCTTTGGATTCTTTACACCCTGACTGGAGGTCCTGCACAGACGAAAGGGGGAGGAGGGGAGGCAGCCACTGAGCACTAATCACGCGTGGCCATGTCAGCTTTCGAACTTTTTTTGTGCGGCCTGGCACGCCGTTGCTTTGCTAGGCCTGGGGCCCGAACTGAAACTACCAGAGCCAGACCTAGCAAAACAAAATGGGACCCATGTCAGCCCCTGCAACCACATACACTCCACGATCCACTACAACAGAGCGATCCGCCCAAGCGCAGCCATGCACACCCCAATGGGCCAGGGGCCTAGCATGTAGCAGTCCTCCTTCTCATCCTCCTCATCCGGCGTTCGTGGAGGTGCTACTTCACTCGGGCGAGTTTCACCCGCTCCCTCCTCAAGGGTGATGTGGGCGGAACGCGCTTCTGCCACGGCCTGCGGGCCAGCTCTCTGTCGGAATGTGGATCCCCAGAAGCAGCACACAAGAACAACGACACACAGCAAAACAGTAGAAAGCCAAGGGGAGGTTCAAACAAAGCCAGATTGCAGCAAGATACCAAGGCAAGGCTCGGGCTTAGCCCATGGGACGAGAGAGCTCCCCCGAGTGCAAGGCCCTACAGGCATGACAAAGGCAAAAAAAACTGCAGACTTTACTCTCCCGCTTGCCCGGCTTCCTAGACATCCTTGAACCCTTGTGAGTTTCCTTTACAGCAAACTCCACAAAGTTGGAGCATCCTTATCCCCATACCCCAAGAAGAGCCCCCAGATTCGGCCTCGGAGTGCGGCCTTGGAGCCTCTGAGGGCGGGTCCGGCTCAGCTGGCGCCAGAGCCTTTTTGGGCTCGCTGGGCTAAGCACTCGCTTTGTGGGGCTCAGCGGTTCAAGGTTCAGGGGAGAGCAAAGTCGGGATAGCAGGACCTCTCCTAGAGTCCTAGAGAGCTTGCGACCTAACCTAGAACCGTCGAAGCACGAGCAAGCGTGGAAGAGCCCAGCATCCACACCCTGAAGCCAAAACCAAACTCCGGCACTACAGCGCTAGAATACGGTCTCCTGGCGTGAGTCCACCGAGTCCGAGCTGATCTCCACCTCGGAGGCCTTCAGGGGGGGGGGGGAGGAGAGGGGACAGACACTCACACTGTCTGACGGGTAGCTTTGCTGACGGAGACGGAATGACCGGCCGGAAGCGAGGACACGCTGAGTGGGAGCTTATCGAGCTGAGGACCTGAGGATGTTTGGGCACAGATGCCGGGCCTGCTGGATGATCTGGAGCAAGTCGGCAGACTTGATGCTCTCGCCAGCGTCTGAATCCTGCTCGGCTCAGGACTAACGGAGCCAAGCACGCGGTGGAAACACGTGCAGAAGATTGCAGAAGCCTCATCAAGGCCGATGTGCAGCACATCGTCGACTTCTATGGCGGGTGGCGCCTGCAAGCACAGCATCCAGGAGCCTTGCCCAAAGCCCTAAACCCTACACCTGAAACCCTAAACTTGAAAGCACCGCTCCTGATGACTGCGACGTGTGGAGTCTGCGGTAGTCGTGGCGGACCGCCCGGTCGCCTGCTGCTCCACTTGGGTTTGGGAGCCCATTGGAGGAGATAGGCTTAGGGGGATTTAAAGTCTGAAAGGCTGCCCACTGTTCGCTTTGGCTCGGGCCCTGACAGTCTCGTCCTGCGGACCCAAGTCAAAAACAATATCATCTGCCGCCGACTCCTCTGCCTGCACCGGTGTGAGCGCCAAGCGTGGGTCACACCAGGAGGGCATACCACGCTTACCGCCAAAACCCTCGCTTCGCATGCTGCACTTTGCTGCCTTTGCTACACATCGACCACTCTGTCGAAGGGACATACAGTCTGCTGACGACCGTTTACATCAAGCATCCCCACCTTCGGCGGCAAGACCGTCAGCAAGGAGTTTGCCTGATGATCAGAATTTAGAAGCCTAGCTGGCTAAGACCTGGGAGGCATCCCGAAAAGCCGAAAACAGCCCGAATGGACTGCGGCAGCTAGCTCTGCTCTCCAGCGTTACCTTAAAACCCTAAACCCTAAATCCTAAACCCCAACATGTTCCGACAAGCACTGAGTCGAGTTGAAGCTCGACCTTTAGCACCCAACCAGCCCGTCCCGCCATCGCCGTCTCAGGCGAGCAATGGGCAGGTAGCGACGAAGCTGCGTCTTCTCTGGCACTTAGCTGCTTAAGCTACTTGCAGTAATGACTCCGGCGAGCTCGTGTGTGTGTGTGTTTCCCCGAAACCTGCTGTTGTGGCTTGGGGAGTTGTTGAGGAAGTGCTGGTGCTTCTTCGAGCTGCTGCTGTCTGACTGGACTATACTGACCACAACCCAAAACCATAGCGACGTGCTTGCCCCGACATTTGGAGGTTACTTAGGGGCCACTTAGGTATATAGGGACGATCTAAGGTCTATATAGGAGTCATTTAGGGGAATCAGATTCAGGGTCCCTTCAACTCCTGCTTTGGGCCGGGAAGCTGCCGTCGGCGCTGCATGTTTCATGGGCTGGTTGGTTCGTAGGGAGTGGGGGAATGAGGTACCTGATATAATCCCTAAGACGGTTTTTGCAGGGCCCGAATTCCCTCGCTAACCCACAGAAAGTGGGGTTTGGTTTGCGATCTCAGGTGTTGTCGGGTTTTCGGGGCCCACGCTCGGCAAGCCGGGCCGAACCCTCAAGAGAGGGCCCAACTAAAACATGTCAAAAACAGCAACACCTCTCCCAAAGCATCCTCAAGAGCTCACTTGTCCAAACCCTAAACCCTACCTTGAACTCTGAACTCTCAACTCCGGACGTGGCAGCCTGAACATCGAAGCTAAGCCCGCGCATCACGCCAGGCTCTCGAGGGTACCTGCACGCCGAAGCCTCGGCTGAGACATGACTTCGGGCTTCCAGGATTTAGGTTGTACACGGTTTTACACTTTAGGGGTTGGGCTTCAGAAAAGCTGAGGGTTTCAGGTTAAGTTCAGATGGGTCTAGGCGAATTGTGGCCCTGCAAGTCGCCATGAGGTCTTGCTACTTGTCGGATCGTCCTGACCGGGTACCCAGCACGAAGAGGTGTCGATGCTGAGATGGTGTGGTTGCCTGGCTGGATGAAACTTTTGCCATGTCTGCCACACCCGAATCGCAAGACAGGAAGGGGCGGCCCAGACGCCGTAGAGCGTTGGGACCCTGCACATCTTGCCTGCAGGCACACAGCAATGTTTGCCTCCATCTCATCTTCAGTTCGGTATGGCCGAAACGGATTGGCCTAGCATCACGGCTTCGGGGTTTTAGGATCTTCGGGTCTCGAGACGGCTGTGACTTGGATCCCAGCCACCAGCGTCGCAGGCGCCATCGGTCAAGAAGGCGGTCAACTCCTTCCGCGTGCTTTGGTTCATCATGGTTCATCCAGACTCATGAAGTCAGGGGGCGGGGTACAGAGCACGATGGAGCGCATGAGCCGGCCCTAAAGGGCACAGCGCCAAAATCGTATCTCCACACAGGTCTACAACTTCAGACGGAGCAAAGAGGGCCTACTGAGCCTTCAGCGCTCGAATCTCAAGGCAATGGCTTCGGAGCCTTGATAGTTGAAGCCACTGAATGTACTTATGTGGGTATTTCGGGCTCTCATCCCGAGCCCCACTCGTTTCTGCAGGCTGAGGCCCGTACGTAAGTGCTCCAGCTGTGAGCAAACTTCAAGATCAGCCTGGCGTTTCCGAGCAGTTCGGAGCGGCTCTCTGAGTTCATGAAGGTCCGATGATGTTCGGAAATGTTGGAAGTTAAGGGTCTTGGGAATGCACATGCATGAACAACCCACGCAGTACATTCATCCGACACCA